CACAGTCATGTCAACTAGATACTGAGAGAGAGACAGTGCATCATCGTATCATGTGTGCTGGGATGCAGTATTTTGCACTTACTTTGTAGTATTAGAGTGTGTTGACTGAAATAAGTTTGTATGAATAAAGTTTTTGTTTTTGGAGAATCATAATATCTCTTATCTGTTGTATTTGAGCAGGACAGGGATGCACTTTGGTGACACATAAAACAAATTCCCAACATTGTGTCTTTCCATCATGTTTGATGTGCTTGCAGATCACAAGCATTTCCTTCCGAATTTTCCGAATTTTTGGTTATATTTAATATTTTGTTATATTTTTTATACTGTTATCATTTGTAAATATATATTTACAGCGATATTGATAATTCTGCTGTGTATTCCCTTCTTCACCCGGATCTCTCAACGCTCGCGCTGCGCTATCTAACGTTAAACGGTCCGGTACAGCGCAAACGAGCAACGTGAATTGGTTCCGTTTTCATTTTATTCGCCCTTTGATATTTCTTATATCCGACAGAAACTACAACTCTTATCGATTGGACTGTGCTGTGGTCGGACCAACGTGACTTATAATAAAATCTTCCCGTTTTTCATATTCGTTTGAAGCCAAAATCAAAAATAGATTACGATTAAACTCGCTACTTTAACGAGAATACTACGTAAGTTAGACAAAATCAAAGTGAACATTAATGAACGAAATTGACACGTCTACAACACATAATCCACTTCTGTACAGTCTAACCGTGTATTTTGATGCACATCTTGTTAGCAGCTGAAGTATGCAGATCGCTAACTCGCTGTCTGGGCTCGTTTTAAAATAAAACTAAGTGCTTCAGACCGAGTTTTGACTTGTAGGAACATATCATTGCACTTCACATTCTATGTGTGCAGTTTATTTTCAATAATAATCTTAAAAAATAAATCTTACCTCAACCAGGCGAAATCCAGTCCCTTTGATGGCGTGGCTGGAAGAAACCCCGTGCAAAATACCGCGAAGAGAGACCACACATGCGCAATAACAGGAAGTTTAACGGTCAAACCATGAAATCAAAATATTACGTTGTCTCAACTTATGTACTTACATTCACTCAACAAAGCAGTAATAAACATGCAGTTAAATCGTTTTTATAAGTAAACTCAACAATGTGCTCCAAAATTTGTCCACTTGACTTACAATTTTATACTGAGTTAACAATTTGCAAGTTGGATTTTTTTTTACAGTACACGAACGGTGTTCTATGATAAAATACAGCAGATCCATCAGACATTTAAAACTCTTTCTGCCGTATCTGTTAGGAGAACACAAGAACTGCTGTGTGTTTGCTGCTCAATAGTCTGCCTGTCACTATAGAAGAGAAAACACTCAATCTGCCCTGATCTGATGTTTCCAGCACATGTAGATTATGTTATGCCATATTACTCTATTATATTACTTAGATGTACATTTTGCTTCTGTAAATATGTCTAATCCCTTATCTTATTTTATATTTCTAGTTTATATACTTACACATTAGTAATTCATTTTTGCACTACATGCTTAATACTTTTTATATATTATTTTTTTACTATTATATTATTCTTTTTCTTTCTGTGAATACATAAGCACTATTTGTAAGCAGCCCAGCTGCAATTGCTTTGGCAATACAAGTGTATAGTTTTTGTCATGCCAATAAAGTACACTTCAATTGAAAATTGAGAGAGAGAGAGAAAGATGTGTATTAAAAAAAGAACGCATCTAAATCAACATCCCACTTACTGCCCACTAGAGACAAGATGACACAGAGCATCTAAACCCACAATTTCTTTCACAAAATCTGCTGGACACAAACACTGCTACTCAAAGGAGTTATACTGAAATAACAGATCACACCCTAACCTTAAAGGGTTAGTTCACCCAAAAATGAAAATTCTCTCATTAATTACTCACCCTCATGTCGTTCCAAACCCGTAAGACCTCCGTTCATCTTCGGAACACAAATTAAGATATTGTTGATGCATTCTGACAGCTCTCTGACCCTCCCCATAGACAGCAAGGGTACTACCACGATCAATGTCCAGAAACGTAGCAAGGACATCGGTAAAATAATCCGATGTGGTGCAGCTGACACAGAACAACATACGCTGTTTGCGTTCAGTGGATACTCTCCAAAATGGCGCTAGGGTGACGCGGAGGAGACGAATTGTTGAATAAAGTCTTTTTTTTTTTTTTTGCGCACAAAAAGTATTCTCGTAGCTTCGTAATATTATGGTTGAACCCCTGATGTCACATGGATTATTTTACCAATCTCCTTGCTATGTTTCTGGACGTTGATCATGGTAGTACCCGTGCTGTCTATGGGAGGGTCGGAGAGCTGTCAGATTCCATCAAAAATATCTTAATTTGTGTTCCGAAGATGAACAAAGGTCTTACGCGTTTGGAACGACATGAGGGTGAGTAATTAATGACAGAATTTTTGAGTGAGCTATCCCTTTAATGACAGCAGGTAAACTGTCAGATTCAATCAAAAATATCTTAATTTGTGGTCCGAAGATGAACGGAGGTCTTACGGGTTTAGAACGACATGAGGATGATTAATTAATGACAGAATTTTCATTTTAGGGTGAACTATCCCTTTAAAAACATCCCCAAATCAGAGATGAACATGCTGAGAGAGAGAGAGAGAGAAAGAGAGAGAGAGATTGAAAGATAGAGAGAAAGATTTTACTTTGATGGTGTATTCATATTCTGTATTTTACACATCTAAAATGCTTTGGCAATACTGTAACAAAAATGTCATGCCAATAAAGCAACTTGAACTCGAACTTGAGAGAGAGAGAGAGAGAGAGAGAGAGAGAGAGAGAGAGCGCAGCAACGCAACAGAACCCTGGCAGCATACCGGTAATTCCCTTTAAAATTAAGACAGAATTTAGCATTCTGTGACTGCTGTCATGATTAGAAACAGAGATTAGTCACAGACTTTCGGACTTGTGGGTGGCACCATGAGACAAACTTAAACGAGATAAATTAGTCCAAACTGCTATACCCAAAGTGAAGTAGACACACATCCAGGCCCGGATTGGCTAATCGAGAGCACCGGGAGGATTCCCGGTGGGCCGATCTGTTTTTTGGCCGAGAGGGCCGGTGTTGTCATGCTACTGGGTTGAACTATGCTGTTCCTAGGCTGCCTGCACTCATAGCAGCCCCACTCTTTTTATTTATTTTCTCGCAGGCCATATTATTATTTTCACCAGATCATATTAGTAACAAATTCTCAATTGATAACTAAAATAGACTGTGATAACTAATCATTCTTTTTGCGCAAATCGTTGTTTTATTTGTGAACATAAGCGTTTAAAGGCTATAGTTGCAATAATATTTTAGATCAAAACTTTAAGTGCCATTGTTTAACAAAAAAAATGCTTGATTGACTGACGTTTCATAGACCTTCAGTTGTTAGATGTTCAAATTTCATGCCATTTGTAATTTCATAGTATTTTCACCTCCTCAATTACACGTGTGAAGTCACAATTCTATAATGGTACAATTTACTCAGGCCGATGGCATTTTTTTGTATGACATTTAAAATTCTTTTCAGAATAATTGTGCATAAATAGGTTAAGCAAAACAATTGTGATTATTTCTGAGAACTTTTTAGAAAGCGCAAAGGCGGCACTGAAAAGGCCAGTAAAAAATAAATAAATAAGTGGGCCGGTCTAAGGCATGATACTCCAGGGCTGAAAATGAGTCCCACTCCGGCCCTGCACACATCTGTTAAATTTAAACTAAACACAGACATACACATACTGTACCATAGACCAGTGGTTCCCAAACTTTTTGAAAGCATGGCACCCGTTTGTAGTATTTTTTTTCCATGGCACCCCAACCCAATTAAACTAAACATACATATGTACATACATACATACATGAAATTAAATCCAGATGAGCAAACAACAAATGAAGCATAAACAGCAGCATGAATTTATGAATGCATCACAACAGTGTTACGGAAGGAGACTCACACAGAGGATTAGAATACAAACTAGGATATTTATTGACAGCAAATGATGCAGATGGTAATGGCAGGTGAGTATTATAGGCAATGGAGCAGTTCTCTGAACTGATGGAGAATATAAGACAGTCTCTGGTTTCGCAGGAGATCGTGGAAGGGAGACAGAAGACAGCACACACCTCAGACGACGAGTAATGAGGATATCCCCACGGAGATGACAACTGGAACTCACGTAGGAACTGAGCACAGGAGAACACACTGGAGGAGACACAGAAGGTAAGTACACAAGGCAGGTAGCTCAATGTATCGCACAGATAGCATAGAGAGTCCACTTCGTATGAACGAGACCGGACACTGGAGTGAAGTGAGGTGTGTGCTTTAGTAGGAGTCCTGATGAGAGTGCAAATTCCAAACAGGTGCGTGCAATCAGTATTCAGGTGACAGTGTGCGCTGTGTTTGGGTGGTGGATGAGCCTGGCTGATCTTTGACAGTACCCCCTCCTCCACGGCCCGCTCCTAAGGGCCGATGACCCCGACGTCGTGGTGGTCTACCTCTCCTTCGGGGCCCAGGACAATCTGGATGAGTGGAGTGAAAGGGCTCCAGCAGTGTGGGATTGAGGTTGTCAACTCTGGGAACCCATGACCGTTCCTCTGGCCCATAGCCTTCCCAGTCCACAAGATATTCCAAGAGACCACCACGGCGCCGGGAGTCCAAGATCTCGTTGACCTTGTAGATGGTGCCGTCCTCCTGGATTAATGGAAGAGGGGGTTCCTCTGTCGGGCCAGGCTCTGTGGAGACAGAAACAGGAGGATGGTAAGGTTTGAGCAGTGAAACATGGAAGGAAGAGTGAATCTTATACTGTGAAGGAAGCTGAAGTTGGTACGTGACTGGGTTTATCTGCTTAATGATGGTGAAGGGGCCAACATATCTGGGACTGAGCTTCTTGCAGGGCAGGCGCATCCTGATGTCCCATGTTGACAGCCAGACCTTCTGACCAGGTTGGTATGATGGAGTTTTAGCCCTTCTAAGGTCTGCTGTCGTCTTGCTTCTGTGCACTGCCCGCTGAAGCTGATGGTGAGCTGCGTCCCAGACCCTCTTGCTCTCTCGGAACCAGTAATCGACAGATGGGACTATCAGACGGCTCCCCCGACCAGGGGAATAGGGGCGGCTGGTAACAGAGTACGCACTGGTAGGGAGTGAGTCCAGTGGATGGCTGGCGAAGAGAGCTCTGCGCGTACTCGGCCCAGCCTAGGAACTGGCTCCAAGAGTTCTGGTGGCCATGGCAGAAGGTTAGCAGGAAACGTCCAACTTCCTGGATCTTCCTCTCCGTCTGCCCGTTGGACTCGGGGTGGTATCCCGACGAGAGGCTTATGGTCACACCTAGGAGAGAGAAAAAGGCCTTTCATACCCTGGAAATGAACTGTGGGCCACTGTGTCTGAGACAATGTCTTCTGGGATCCCGTAATATCTGAAGTTGTTGTTAAACATGATCTCAGCGTTTTCCATAGCTGTGGGTAGACCTTTGAGAGGGAGAAGACGGTAGGATTTAGAAAATCGATCAATGACTACTAGAACACATGTATTACCCTCCGAGGCCGGCAGATCTGTGATGAAGTCAACTCCTAGGTGTGACCAGGGGGCGGTTGGGAACGGGCAGCGGAAGAAGTTTGCCAGATGGTAGGTGGCGTGGGCTCTTGGCGATGGCACAGTCGGAACAGCCTTGGACGAACCTTGTCACATCCCTGGCCATATTGGGCCACCAGAAGCGATCCTTCAGCAGCGAGATGGTGTTGTTGGCCCCAAGGTGGCCAGTGCCCAGAGAAGTGTGAGCGGAGTGAATCAGGGGAGTGCGTTGTGCTCTGGTGACATACTGCAATCCTTGTGGACAGCCCAGCAGAGTGGCCGTGGAAGCATTGGAGGAGGCGGCGGCTGGATTGGGGGACCATTGGATGGGGCTTACGATGATTTCCTTGGAGATAATGGATTCCGGTTCCTCACTGACCTCTTCAAGAACATGAAGACGAGAGAGAGCGTCCGCTTTCACATTTTTGGGACCTGGACGATAGGAGATGGTAAAATTGAATCGAGTGAAAAAGAGTGCCCATCGTGCCTGGCGAGGATTAAGTCTCTTGGCGTCTCACAGATATTGCAGATTTTTGTGGTCAGTGAGGACAATGAATGGATGTTGTGCACCCTCCAACCAATGCCTCCATTCCTCCAGGGCCAGCTTAATGGCAAGGAGTTCCCTGTTGCCGATATCGTAGTTTCTCTCCGCTGGGCTGAGTTTGCGAGAGAAGAAGGTACATGGATGAAGTTTGGCTGGAGACCCCTGCTGCTGAGACAGAAGGTAGTGGAACCTTACCCCGGTAGTGGAAGCGTCCACCTCCACAACGAAGGGCCTGTTGGGGTCTAGATGGATGAGGAGCGGTGCACAGGTGAAGGCTTTCTTGAGGGCTTCAAAGGCTTCAGTGGCAGGAGATGCAGAGTTTCCTCGTGTAACTGTCCAACTTGTAAGTGGAGAGGACCAACACAGTGGCGCACATGCCTTTGGCTAAGTGGTTTTCCCGTCACCGATTGGACCTGGTAGGTGGTTTTGGTGGCAGTGGTCATGAGCTTAAGCTGGCGGCAGAGATTCCCGGAGATGAAGTTCCCGACTGACCCAGAGTCGAGGAGGGCGTGTACTGGAAGGGAAATACCGGAGGCAGTAAGATTCACAACAGAGGTGAGGGGCTGCATATTGACTATCGATGACTTAATGACACTCACCATGGGTCGTGGTGGCCAAATTGGGCATGCCGCGATTACATGCCCACCAGCTCCACAGTACAGACATAAGCCCTGGGTCAGCCGTCTCTGCTGTTCCAATGAAGAGAGTCGAGTGTTATCCACCAGCATGGGCTCGTGACCTGGTTCTGGAGGGCTGATGGTGTCTGGCCGGCGAAGGAGTGGAGTGAATGGTGAGAGTCGATGTTATTCGAAACAAGACTGAATATGACTAGCGCACCGGATGGACAGCTGTATAAATCGTTCCAAACCATAGGAGTCATCATAGGCAGCGAGCTGAAGTCTCACTCTCGATTCTAATCCCTGCCGGTAGGCGGTGAGGAGTGCGCGCTCATTCCAGCTGCTGGCCGCTGCGAGAGTTCTGAACTTGAGGGCATAATCATTAATGGATAGAGAATCCTGACGGAGGTGATATAATTGTTCACAGACAGAGGTATCGCCTGCTGGTCTACCAAAGACTTCTCGGAAATGTACAATAAAATTATCAAGAGATTGAGTTACAGTACCGGCTTGGGACCAGATGGTCTCGGCACACTGGAGTGCTCGTCCTGTCAGCAGGGATATGATGAACGCAATCTTGGCTTTATCCGTTGTGTAAAGATGCGGCTGCATCTCCAGATCGAGCGAGCATTGCAGCAGAAATCCATTGCACTCCTCCGCCGAGCCAGAGAAGGGTGCTGGTTTGGCCATGGGACTGGTAATTACTGTCGAAGAAGAAGTGGCGGCGTTGGTGACGGGCGTGACAGGTGGTGTGACTGGTGCGGGGTTGAGAATCCGTTTGAAAGCATTCACGATCTCCTTGAACGGGTCGGGTGCACTCATGTTGCTGAATCCTTTGTTGGCCCGGTCTTCTGTTACGGAAGGAGACTCACACAGAGGATTAGAATACAAACTGGGATATTTATTGACAGCAAATGATGCAGATAACAGACATAATATGAGGTGAAACAACCCATTCAAATGAACCATCTGTCTTTTACAACTGGATGACAAATGTCAACAGACTGATTTGAACCATGTGGGAATCATTGGAAAAAAGCACATTTAAAGATAGATACTTAACTCTTTAAATAATAATAAACAACTCAAATTAAATTTTTTCTTTAGTTTCTCATTTGTTTTGTTCAAACCTGACCTTATAACTTAAAAAATTTTAAATAAAATATCTGTGCATGGAAAGAGGTTGAAAACGGGTGGGCTAGGGCCAGCCCACACCAAACCTAAACAGGCCCAGTGCGGGCTTGCCCGGTCGAGGCCCACAGCTTTGGGCTCACCGCAGGCTCTCTGTGAGCAGGCCACACTAGCGGACTGCCCACATTAATCCTATGATGGCCCAGTGTGGGCCAGTCCGTTTGGGCCCAGAGCAACTTTTGTATCCTTTGGGCCCATGCAGGTTTTGTGTAGGCAGCCCTGTAATGCAACTAGGAGAATACAAACAACATTGACTGGCCATTCTTTAGCCACTCAATTGAAGTGGAATGGCACAAACCAAAAGATACCTTTTCAGAATCTGTTGTTTCATATAGGCCAGGGATCCTCAAATCTAGCACACGAGATCCATTTTCCTGCAGAGTTTAGTTCTAACCTTAATCAAACACACCTGAGCATGCTAATTGCAGGAAAGTGGATCTCCGGAGCCATATTTGAGGTGTAACAGACACAAGCCTATTAATAAGAATTTTGTGGGCAGTTTTATTCCTTACCACTCGGGGTGCTAGGGTGTTTTAGGTTTCCTTAAGTAAAGCCATGTGGGTAGAGGGAGTTACAAATAACAAGCAGCCGTAACCCGCTGAGCACATTGTGCTGTGTCCTGGTTGGGAAATGTGTCATTTCAAGCCCAGTCTAAAGTAAGGAGGTTTTTTTTTTTTTTTAAGTGTACATTGTGGATGTTTTTTGCAGAGATGTTACATGTATGTATGGCCAATGTTTGGAGTGATGCTAAGAGTTTAAGACTGTGTATTTGTATGCATTTTAGAAGGACTCTTTATTGGTGAGGTTACCACATCATGGTCCAGTTTGAATATGGATTTAAAGTTTTTTTCGACGTGGGACCATAGTCTGGACTATTTTTGACTGTTCCTGCTTAGGAAGAGTTTGGTGTTTGAGAGCCATGGCGTGTTTTCATTACAAGAGGTTGGATTATTAATTTGCTATCAGTCAACTTCAGCTATGGACAGTGTTTGGACATTGAAGTACTACAGATACGACTTTCGCACACATCAACATTCACATGACGAAATCCTACAGTCTTACATTGCTTTCTTTTGTTTTTTTTTGTACTTTTGTGTATTTACATTTTTGGCTATATGTAGCTGTATTAACCTGAACTGAATGTTTTCTGTTTTGTATTCAATAAATTGAGTTGAAATCCCTTTGACTACTGTACATTTTTGACAATACAGACATTAGTTATGTGGTGACTGCATCCATTTCAGATGTATAATAACTGTTTTTCCCCCAAAGACTTAAGTTATAGTAGCTGGAAAGTATTTAAAGTGAAACAGATGTATTGTAGATTAAAAGTGCGGGCCCTGTGTGGGCATAGTGAGGGCTTTATGGGGGCTAAGTGAGAGCTGCCCCGCAGGGCCAGCGCTAAGGGGCCAACGTTTTGCCAATGAATTCCCTAAGGCTAGCCCTAAGTGGGCCCGTAAAGGGCCAGTGCAGGCTTGTTTGCAGGGTGTATATGTTCAAGCTTTTTCAGATATTTCTAAAGCACAAACTAAGCTCTCACAACTTAGACATGAACAAGAAAGGAGACAAGATGAAAGATGAGAAGCTTTTGTTTCTGCTCTAATAGCCACAATACCATGGCAAACATGGCGGGAGCGTGTTAGAAGTCAGTTGGTGGAGAACAGGTGGTCTTTTGTGGATGTTTAACCACATGAGTGTCTACACTACGATAGCAAAATAAATGTGTTTTTGACTTGTTCTGGAAATGGCTGAAAATGGACAAGCTCAAAACATTTTAGACCCCATTTACAATTTATGTAACATTGTCCACTCATGATTGAATTGACAAAAATGAATCTTAATACCAGGTGTAAACAAACAGTGCCATAGATTTTACATTGGCCGTCATATGGAGATCCAAGACAGCACCAAAGCTGTAACCCAAGGAAGTCCAATCCTGCTCCTGTCATGTCCAGCAGAGTTTAGCTCCTATCCTATTTAAACACACCTGAACTTGCTAATCAAGGTCTTTAGGAGTACAAGGCTGCATCCAAAAGCTGAAAAAAAAAGTTGGCTGATAGGCAACAAGTCAGCTGCCCAAGCTTTCAGACACAGCCCAAGTAACTTACAGGTAAGTGTGCTGAGGCAGGCTGGAGATAAACTCTGCAAGACACCCCCGCTTTAACTCATATTTTATGTAGTCTGGGACTACATGTAGTCTTTATGTAATCTGGGGCTCCCTCTCGTCACAACCACATGCTGTATTTCTGTTTTACACAGATGTAATGTATCGACAGTATAAATATGATGTACAAGTGGACGTATAGATTAGAAGCGTTCAAAGAGAATGGTAATCCCTTATAATCCTAGAATAATCTGAAAAGGAAACTAACATTTTGAATGATTCTTCTAACACGCCTGATTCAGCTTATTAGTTCTTTTGTGAAGTCAAATTCATGACCTTAATTTGCTGTATCAGATAAGACAAAACGTGCAGTGATGAGAGGCCACCATTTAGAAACACTGGCCTAGAAAATGAATGATGCTGGAGCTATTTTACCTTAATTTTTAACAGTTTCTATCCATACTATCAGTGCTCCTTGACAGATTAAGCAAAACTATACACATCTCATAAAGGCTTGATGTTGAATGATCATATCATAATTGGATTATGCCATAAAATCCACATTACATTCCACAATACATTATGTACTGTGTTAAAAGATGCAATAATTATTATTATTTTTAATGTTTTTGTTGACTGATGTGACCATGGTCTTCACAGCCTTGTAGAACTTTTAATTACTTAAAAGTAAACTAGCTATGACTTGTCATCTTGTAATTCAAATTATCCAAGAATAAAAATAATCTTATTCTTTAATACCTGGTGAAATAAACAACTTTATAACAAAATAATCAAGTTCATTTACACACACCCTCACAAATACACACACACACACACAAATACACACACACACACACACACACACATCTTTAATACCTGGTGAAATAAACAACTTTATAACAAAATAATCAAGTTCATTTACACACACCCACCCAAACACACACACACACACACAAATACACACACACACACACACACACACACACACACAGAACTACCTCATGCTATAGGGATCCCCATTACTTGTACCTTACAATAATATTAATGGTTACACTTCACAACAAAACCCAAACTATATTCAATTAAATTGGTATTAATTTTTTGAAAAAAAGGTATCTAATCATGTACATTGCACATAAGGCAAGTTTTTTACTTCTAAATCTAATTATACAATGATGCTTCTAATCTTAATTAGTTATTGAAATATAATAATTTACATAGTGGCAATCATAACATGTTTTCATGACAGATTTATTTATACATACTGCACATTAAATAATTAAGGGATCACTAACTTTGAAAGATCAGAGACAGGGACTGCTATTAGAAAAAAAGCTGAGAGTCATGGAGCTGTCTTGTATAAACACACAAAATCAAGGGAAATATATTTAAATGTATTAATGAGGACATGGTGTTGACATGTCAACAGGATGCTGAATCTCTCAGAGAGAGATAATACTCAAATAAACTGCCTCAGAAACAGCTGAAACATTGTGATTTTCCTTTGTATTGTAGGTAGTAGTTTAAGACATCAAAAAGTCCACTTCTGACACAGAGGCCAAAACTTAAGTATGTTGCCTTAAAATATACCTCACTTTTGACAACTTCTAAGGCAGTGTGTACCTTTTGCACAGAAGGCAATTCCAGAATGAATTGTGAAAAAAAACAAAAAACGATGGTACACAATGCAAAAATGTTTCATATATATCAAACTACACTGATAATTTTGTTTAATCCATGTGTGTGCTATGTATTTTTATGTTTATTAGAGTATCACACTGTTATCTTTGCAAAATGCTAAGGTCACACTCTAATTAAATAAATAGAGTCTATTCTCCCATGTGGAGTGCTATTTATACGAGTTGTTCAAGAATAGCACTCTAAATCAGTCACTTATGTGGTTCCATGACAGCTAGAATACTGGCTTAGAAGGCAGCTTTAGGCGGGTTATGGACAGAACTTACATGTATTTTGATTATATGTGACCACTTGCATGTGTACACAAGAGACATAGTGAGACAGACATATAAATGAATAAAAACTGTATGTATGTGGGTGCAACCAAAGTCTATTATTACTAATTTCTGACACCTGATAGTGAGAGTCACAGGCATCAGTGCTGTGTATTTGACTGGCAGCAGTGGGCTCTGTCATCGTGATGAGTGGGTGAGTCAGGCAGCTCATGCTGGGCAGAAGCCTTGAGCAAATGTCATCGCATCTAACGCCACACTGACTTAACACACTGCTGCTCCCAGATGACATCTATCACCACACACACATATCTTAACGACAGCCCCACACTGCCAAATTTTACTCTAACCATTCAGCAAACTTACTTTCTTCATTTGTTTCCAATCATGAGTAATGCACCTGGTCTCCAGGAGCTGTATGTTTTATGGAGCACAATTTATGGAGTAACTTCTCGCTAGCTAAAGGTATAATTTAGTGTCAGTGTGAATCTAGGTAGGCTATAACTTTCTTGGCTTGACACGGTTCTTTTCGACAGTATGATACATCACACCCCTCAATACAGCGCACACACTGGGTTTCATTTCCACAATGTCGACCTCGGAGACATTCGTTTTAGTTCCACACATTTTTACGAGCGGTTTTATGTGACAGCTTGGTAATTTTTTAGCAGCTACCTGACTTCAGTGCCCATAGCACATGACAGAATGCATAATATTAAGTTAAAAATAATAAATCATTAAAACATTTTCATAATTAATATTACACAACAGTTTCCTTTTGAGATTTCATGTGTGCTTGCATATAATAAGACTTTGTGTCTCAAGACATATTGTGCCATGTGCCAAGTCAAAGATGCCACATCTCATAACTAATTGCAAAGCCCCAAACTTTACTATGCAGAAGTGCAAATGTGATTCATCAGAGAACATGATTTCAGTCTGTTCATCACAAAACTAACGCATGGCTTTATGAGACATAGAATATAGCACTCTTTGGAGTGTTACAAGCAGTAACTTTGTCGATTCGCTGTGGACTTTCCTATCTTCAGAAGAACCAGAGGAAAACCGGCAGCTCACTCCTAAAGAACTCATCAAGAACCTCCGTGTCTACCGCATCAGGACTCTTGTTCAGCAACAAAGCCAATGCAAGTAACTGTTTACAACTATTTAGATGCGTGTTTAAGTTTGAGTGTTTAAGTTTTGGCCAGGAAAATAATCTTTCCTAGAACTGATAAATGATTATATTGTCTGCTCGGTGGACGGACAGATCAAATAATTGTAATATTGATCCTGCTACAGTTAATTCTAAGATCTAATCTAAATATTCATTATTAATTATAACCAGTTATAATTAATCATAAATATTTCCCTTTTGAGCTAATTTGCTACATTTGTAACCACAAGTTGAGAGATGAAGTTCCATCCACACAATTTTCAATACTTTTTTCGAATTGGGACTCTGGTTTTGGGAAACACGGAATGTGTGGACCACTGTGACAACAGACGTGACTGGGACAAACCTCATTGGTTCTCAAATGTCAAGCAAGTACAGCTGAGAACTACACCATATTTTACGGTCTCTATGCATTTGTTGATCAAGGTTTATATATGAATATAAGGCTTAATTAATTTTCTTCATCATATGTAGTGATCCCGTCTTTTCTGAAGATGTGGATTACTTCGTATGGACTACTTTCATGTCGTTTTGTACTTTTTGATACATGAATGTTTCGGTTGCATGGAATTTCAATGCATAGACAAAAATGATTAAAAAATACATATATATACAGTGGTGGCCAAAATTGTTAGAACACTTGGCATATTTAAGAGGTTTCAGTTGTTTTTGTTGAATTGGCCATTACAATACCCATAAAAAGAACTATTGCTGGAACTACCAGCGACATAAGGAATCTGCTGGAACATTGAAAATGATGGACCTCAAAGTTGGGACCTCAACCCCATCGAGCAAATTTGGAGCAAGTTGGAAAATAAACTGGACAGATCTATTGTACATTCAGGAAAGCCTTTGGCTTGAGTTGCAGAAGGCATGGGATCACATTAGTGTTGAAGTTCTCAGGAAATATATTGACACTATGCCAGAGAGATGTGCTGCTGTAATTGCTGCAAAAGGTGGACATACCAAATATTAAAGTTAAAAGTGGATAAAAACAGTATGACTCACTTCATCTGATATTTGTTGTGCTCAGAGCAACCATCTGCATGTTTCATGAACATTATGAAATGAAATCATGTTTTGGAGGCAAAAAAGGAGGCAATATTATCAGATCTGTCAGGTGTTCTAACAATTTTGGCCACCACTGTAAAAAAAACCTTCTTTTGTGTTTTTCTGAAAATGAATGAAGTCTTTTGGGTTTGGAACAACATGAGGGTAATTAAATGCTGTCAGAATTAAATTTTTTGGGTGAACTAACCCTCTAAATAGCTCTAGCAAACATTTAATCATTAACTAATTAACCATTCATATGCAGTGTCAAAAAAAAAAAAAAAAAAAA